GCTTTACTTTTATGTAATTTGACTTTATGCTTAAATATGAGAAAAATTAAAAAAATGCGAAACTTTAGCATGTCAATTTCAGTTTGGATGGTGGGAATTGCGTTTTATCACTTTTCCTAGTGCTCTTTTATTATATGTGACGTGTGACCAAGGGTCTAACGGTTCTTTGAATGCATCTATGATGATTGACTTCAAAATTTGTTTAAAAAAACCATTTTCATACTTTTGGGGTTTGGACATGTCATATTTTGCATTGGAAGTATTTTGAGGTTATGGACCATTGGAACGCATCTTATTATGTATATTACACTTGCGAGAATGTTTACTTTGCACAAAATATCTCGGTTGCATGATGTGGTTGATGGTTAGCTTCAAACTTTCCATTTTAAGGCATTTTTGAGGTTTAATAAGTCGTTTTTTGCATCAGGCATATTTGGGAGTCACGGACCATTCCCGCACATTTTAAAACACTTATTACGTTTACGTGCACAATCGTTTTAGCACACGACTTCATATTCAGTCATTTGAACATTTGAAGCAAATTTGCATTTTAGCATTTTTCGTTAAAACTGATCTCAGGGGTATTTTGGGCATTTCAGGTCAAAAATAAAATTTTCTTTCAACATGGTCAACTTGGAAAAATTATTTTAAGGGGGGTTTCTTCTTCGTGTTTTTTTCGAAAATGGTCATTTCGGGGTCCAAAAAGCACACGGTTCTCATCATTTTTTTAATTTGTGTCCAGGTATGTGCACCAGCAGTGCCCGCACGCATGGAGCTTGGCCCTGGTGCCCCTTGGCCGCGGCGCCGCTCATTTTTGTTTTTGGTCGTTCTCTTCGGACTCTAGATCAAGTGATTCTTGAGTCTATCCTCGTTAATTTTTCGTTGTCTATCCAATGGTATGCTTAGTAGTATCAGTAACTTTTAAAAATTACCATTTTGCCCCTATGGCTAAAATTGTCCGTTTTTAAAATTTCGCTTCCACATTTTGTTTTCATTTAAACTCCGTGACTTCATGGAAAGTCACTCTAGCATTCTTGGGATGCCTTTTGTCCCTATGAACCTTGTTTTCTTTGTTTTCGCTTCCGCATTCCAGATCCGTTCTCGAGTCAACTTTTGAGTCACATTGACACATCCAGGCTTGTAAAAATTTGGAACGTCACAGGTGAAATCAGAGCATCTCATGTTCAGATCGTCACAATAACTTTTATATTTTTATTAGTGTTCTCTTTAGAAAAGTGAGAGATTAGGGTTTTGAGAAAATAGGAAAATGAAGGCACAAGGAAGAACACTTCCAAATCTACACATTATCTCTCTAGAATTTAACACAGAAGAAGAGGAAGAAGATGAAGCCATGTTTGGAGATTGCCCTTGAGGGTTCCATAACCACATCCACCTCCTCCATGATTGGCTAGACTTCTCCTTGGGACTTGAATGAGCCCTAAGCTTGTAATCTAAACCCTTGTCTTTCATCGTTTTGGGGATTTATTTCTTATGATTAATGCTATAGTCTTGTATATTTAATGAATCTTGGGTTCTCATTTGATTTCTATGGTTAAATTCTTCCTAATAATTCTCTATGTTGGTTGCATGTCTATGTGTGATTAATTGAGGATTTAGTGATGGCTATGCATGGTTTTCATTAGATGCATTTATTGATTAATTTGATGGATTATGCTTAGGCTTGATAAGTTGTTCTACACATTAGTTTACTTGTTGGTTAAGTAGATAATCTATACTTGATTTTGATATTCATGGCTTATTATCACAAATTGAATTATTCTCTAGATTGATATGTAATATAATTGTCAATTAATGAGATGGGTTATGGTTTAGTCTTGGTAGGTTGTTCTACACTTTAATTCATGTTTGTAGTTAGGTAGACAATTTATGTTTGATTTGACAATCCATGCTTATTATTGAAATTAGTATTATCATCTTATTAATGTGTGGTCGTATTAGATACATTTGGTTAATTAGTACACCTAGTTTACTTGTTGTTAGGTATACAATTCATACTTGAATTGGATAGTCCCATGCTTATAATTGCAAGTTGAACTAATGATTGTAGCTATATTTTATTCACAAGAATGTTTTTCCCAATTAGTTGAAAGCATGTGGTTTGGTGAATTAGCTTGGCGGTGATTCCAACACCCTAAGACCTCTCTTCCTGTCATTCAAACCCTAACTCACTTAGTTTAACTTTAATTGTATTTTAATTTTATTGCATTTTAATTTTATTGCATCTTAGATTAAAAACCAAACAAACCCTCTCTTTTGCAATCTTGTAATCTATTAAAGTCGAAGTTAGATTCTAACTACGTGTTTAATCCCTACGGACGATTCCTACTCGTTATACTTCATTAGTAGTAGTAGTAGTTTTATAAATGTAAATTTGACTTTTAAAGCTTCCAAAAGCACATTCTTATATTGACCTTGTGAAGCGACCTCTCACAAAAAGCATGTCAATCTCCGTCATCACTCCAAATGGAGTGTTGTAACATTGACAACTTGTGCAAAAATCAACAAAATTGCACAAAAATCAACAATGTTGATTTATACGCAATTTTTTTTTTTTATAAATATTTTTTTATTTTATTAAGGATATTGTACATAGATTTTCAAATTCTACACTTACTTATATACAACCATGATTGAAACAAAACCATATTAAGATGAAATTTAAGTAGCCATTCGATGAACTATTAGCATTTCAAGTGGCATTTCTCCTGAATTTGGTTTGCGATTTTGTATGTGTTAAGAGTATTATTAGGCTTTTTAATATATTGTCATCACGACCACAATGGCTATCAGTTCGTGTGGAGCATGAAGACAATTAGTCTGCATAGAGGCATTTCTTTCAACTAATTTTCACACATCACACAAGCAATTAAGAAACCTTCATAAATTTTAGCTAGCCTATTAATTATTGCATTCTAGAAAATAATGCATTCTTCATTGGAGTAGCTATTAAGGTACAGAGATGAATTATAAAACCATCAGGAATTCTATATGTATATATATAGTTCTGATTTATAAATTTCAAGGTTAACAAGGTGAATGAAATTATTTGATAACTAAATCGAACCATATCATAATTCATAGCACTGAAGTATCAAGTTAGTTGTTGGTATATAATTGACATAAACAAGAAAGTTGGAACTTTAAAGAGGGAAGTAGATTGGTTAAACCTTTTTGTAAAGAACCTCGCCATTCAGTTACCCCAACAGATTGATTCTAACCTTTATTTTGGGCAAGTGACAATCATTTCATATGCCACTTTCTCAAAAGATCACGAATTCAAAATGCGATTACCAATTGCTATACCTGGACCATTAAATTCGGCTTGAAATAATAGTGAGTGGGTAAATTTCTCACCAACATAGCAAGAAAAAAATAAAAATAAAAAATTACAAACATACTTTATAATTTTCATTGATGGAACCCGAGAGGACCAACAGGCCAGAGATCCGAAGAGAAAATAGGAAATTAAAAACATAAATGAGCATTATTCCGGAAACAAAATTTATGCAGAAACACATCATTTTGTTACCAAACTGCCCTTTTGTAATTGAATATGAACCAGTTGCACGTTCACATTGTTTCTAAAAACGAATATACAGAAATCTGTTCATATCCGTTGCTTGCTAGATAATCAGAGAGGAAGGCACATAACTAAATCCAACCAGTCAATCCAAATCTGTCAGCAACATTGTACATTACAATTAGACCTCTACTTTTAATCCATATGTAAATTCATTAAATATTTAAGTTTGTTTGGATTAGAAAATATTTTATTTTTATTTTTTGGTGTTTGGTTATTCAAAATTTAAATAAAATATTTATTAATTTATTAACTAAAATATTTTATTAAAATTTAACAAAAATAATTACGAATTTTTCTTTTTTTTTCAAACTTTACCAAACGCAGAAAAATAAAAGAGATATTTTATATAATTTTGCATCCGAACTAATTTTAATTCAAAATTTTTCATATGGATAACTGTTGAGTGATCTGGAAACTAAACAATAAAATATCAAATTGTCATCATCGCATTTGGAAAAAATTATCTACTACTTATTATTTTTTGCTTCGGGTCCATACAAGACAAAGGTAAACCAAAGAGGTGGACGGCTAGACCATTCCAAGTCGCCATCACTGACTGATTGACTAATCTTAGGCCGCTGAATTTCCAGTTCTCGGAGTCCATATATCTTCATGCACCACAGAGGAAGGACCTGATATCCTTCACGGCACCTACCCAATTTTGTGTGTTTTTTGACAAAACAAACGGAACACAGAGGCACTAGAGAACAAAAACCGAATCTGACACTTTCTCAAAAGATCAAACAATGCCCCGAAATTTTTCACGTGGCGGAAACTAACCAAGGAAGGAGAAAATAGTCGTCGTGGTGCAAGAATGAAGTCGTCAGCATGAGAGGTGTCGCTCGAGCACACCTTTAAGCGTCAGTTTACGATTTTGTACCTAGGGCTAAATTTGTCCGTTTTTAAAACGTTGTTTCCGCATTTTTGTTTTCTTTTAAGTTCTACAACTTTATGAGAAACCATGTTTATGTCTTAAAGATGCAGCAAGAACCATAGCGTGAAGAAGGTGCATTTTTATTTTATTTTATTTTTTTTTAAGGAGAGAAGATGAAGAAGTTTAGGAAGCTCGATGCAAAAATAAAAGAACACAATATATATTGTAATACCCCTAATTTTCACTCAAAAGATCAAGAATTCAACTTGAAATAACAGTGAATGTGTGTAGTTTTCTCACCAACGTAGCGAGAAAAAAAAAAAATTTACACACTTAATAGTTTTCATTGATGGAAACCAGAGAGGACCAACCAGCCAGAGATCCGAAGCGCAAATAGTAATAAAAATAAAAAAAGACGGGAAAAGAAAACCGGTTTAATTGCAGTTTAAAATTTCAATTTAACCTGCCAATAACCAACTTTATTTGTAGAATTTATCCAAGGGCATGAACCTCCTTCCCAAGTGAAGAATAACATGCCAATTTCATTTGAATGAACCAAAATCAGAGAAATGTTTAAAGAGTTTTCAAACCCCCACATTTTTTCATCTCTTTTTTAGGTGTTAACAGAGAAACGTTCCCTTTTAACACTCGAATCTAAATTGAAAACAGAAATGAGCATTATTCCGGAAACAATATTTATGCAGAAACACGTCGTGTTTTGTTACTCAAACTGCCCTTCTGTAATTGAATATGAACCAGTTGCACGTTCACATTGTTTCTAAAAACGAATATACAGAAATCTGTTCAAATCCGTTGCGTGCTAGATATCAGAGAGGAAGGCGCACAACTAAATCCAACCAGTCAATCCAAATCTGTCAGCAACATTGTACATTACAAGTTCATCCCAAAAATGGCCAAATAGACGTTCCCCTCCAATTGCAAATGTAATGGCCCATGAAGAGAGAAGAACCGTGAATACCATGAAACCAACCGCTGATCCAACAACATCTGCAAAAGGGATGTTTAGTTAAAACCATAAACTATAGAATGGAAGTGTAGTTGGATTGAAAGTAACCCCATGTTTAGGAGGGAAGGAGGAAGGGAAGAGAAGAGGGACAAAGTAAGTTTCCATTGTTTGGTAGACAGAAGAGGAATATGGGAATGATGGGAGGAGGACGAGGCATCACTTTAGACCCACTATTTTGCTTCATCCAAAATTAATTGAGAGAAAATTATTATTTGTTAAATAAAAGATGAAATGACAATTTTAACCTCATTTATATAAATTAATTTAAATATTTAAGGGTCCAATGTCAAAATGATACTATTATATATTCCTTCCCCTTTCACCCAACCAACCAAAGAGAGGGATCGACACCCTTCTTTCACTATAGATGCCTCATCTATTCCTCTCTTCCTTCCAACCATTTCTCCATCTTCCTACCAAATTGATCCTAAAAGATGAAGGCACTTGGAGGCAACATAAAGTGATAAAAGGAAACAGAAAATTATAAAATAAAAAATTAAGGAAAGGAAAACCACATTAAACATAACCGAGAATCATACACAAAGCTAAATTCTCATAGCATTTAAAACATATCCCCCAAATTTTCATTTCAGAGTTGTCAACATGACGAGGTTCCAATTTTCTTGTCTGCTAACAACTATCCATTTCACATGACAAACAAAAAGTAGGGTTTTCACTTAATGGGTTTGACTTCCATGCCCTAAATGCTACAAAAACTGAAACAAAATAATCTCACTACCACATCAATACCAACTGCCGCCCTTATTAAGGAACTTTAATCTGCATCAAAATACCAAAAAAGAACGAGAAGATAACCAAAATAAAACACTGAAATAAATCTCTTCTCCTGGTTTAGTTTTGATGGATGAAAAGACTAAAACATGAAGGAGATGGATAGACAATCAAAATGCATATATTTTTTTTCCTAGTTGGTTGGTAGTCACACACACTTATCTTTTTTGAGACTTAAACCCCTGACCTCCCTTTGGGAAGTAAGGGGTGATACTGACAATAATATCCTTTTCCCAACCACATCCATCTAATGCAACTGCACCTCTTAAAATGCCAGTCAATATCATATGAAATTGCAACACAAGCAGCTATTTTGAATAACATATTGCATGACTCTTTATAATTCATCAAAACAGCATAAAGCCATATAATAATAATAATAATAAATGCGATAAGTTTTTTTCAGATATAATTTTATCTGAAACTTTCACCTAGCTTTTGATGGAATCAGAATTGGTTAAAATGACATAATTACAACTACAAGGGCCCTAAGCCCAAAGCTATGAATATTTGTTATTTTGGTTTAAATCTAATGACTATAATGCAAGGTAATGAAGCCACATAATGCTGCTCCGAACCACATCATTATCTCAAGGAAGAATATGGGAGAGTTTGAAACAAAGTAAATAGCTTTTGGTAAATTATTACTCGATTACTTTCATTTAACGGTTTCTAAAGTTGTAAGAGTTGTGGTTTTAGAGTTTTTAACGCCAAAAATGGAATGATTCGTAATCGATAGGGGCAAATTCTGAAAAAGGCTATAGTAGATTTTCCTTTCATAAATCATATGAAAAAGGTCCTGCTTGTCAGTCAAGTGATTTCCTTTTCCTACAACAAAAATGTCAATGCAATTATCATAAAAAACTTCACACTTCGCCTACTAGACTTTGGTCCCACAAGATTATTTGGTTAGCAGGTTTATTCTTAGACTAGGTTTTGTCACCAAGGAAGCTATTACACATTTAGGATTTGTAACGGAGGTACTTCCCTAATAATTTGATCTTGAAATTATGACATTTGTTTCAAGGTGTTCAGTAGAGCTGTTTCAGTGTTGACAATTCGTCCTATTATATTATTGCAGCAAGTCTGTATACCGCTGTCTTTTACATAATTAAGCCCTCTTCAGGATAGGAACCCATGATTTCATTTTTAATCATCAATAAACTTTCTTCCATCCCATCTGTGAAGTTGTGGCCCGAGTCGCCCAACTTCTGTTCCAGCCTGGTTTCAACCCGAAAAATGGGCTTTGTGTGGGCCCGAATTTTATGACCCGTTTTTTGCTTACGTGTCTATTTAGGACTCTCTTGTAACCCGGAATATAAGGGCATCTAGGGTTTGGAGTGGGATAATGAGAACACTGAAAACTGCAGGAAAGAGACAGAGAGAGAGAGATAGTGTTTGGGGGCTGAAATTTGTAATCTCTTATTTTCGCATAGTGAAATCTTTTATCGCATCTTCACCGTGGACATAGCCAAGATTTTTGGGTGAACCAAGTGAATTTGTGTTCTTTGTGTGTGTTGTGTTTAGTGTTTTCTTTTCTGTCGTGATTCTTATTTTGTCCTTGGTTCGCTGCATTTGCTGTAACACCATCCTATTGTATTTTTTGGCAATAGAAATGCACCTATTTCTTCTTTAACCAGTTGCTCTTCTTCACCCAAAAAGGCTACTTCAATTTCGTTTCAATTATTTCCCAAATACCCAAGATTTTAGTTTTTATATAAACATGCTATATTCTTGATCTAAATCAAAATAACAATTTCAATCATATCCAATAATGAACATTAAAATTTGATATTTTAATCCAAGACTACCTTTACTCAAACAATAAGGCTACTGTCAGACTTTAGTTTAGCAGTCTTTCCTGGAGAGAAAACATCGTCAAAAAGGTTGTCCAACAGAAATCACTAGTTAAGACTTGAGAAAAAATATATAACCAAATTATTTTCTAAAGAAATTTTCCATCAAAAGAATTCCTAATTAAAAGCCTTTTTAAGACTGCATGACTTGCATAATATATTTATATATATAATTAAATGAAAATGACACAAGTAATAATATTAGAAACCAGACCTAAATTCAAATTTTTGGGAAAATTATGCTCTCCAACTATCTGGGCAATTTTGAGAAAATAATTTATATGTGTTAAATTAAAATCTTTTTCCCAGTCAATTGTGAGGTGATTTTCCTACAACAGAAGAGATGCATCGAAGATCTACAGCAAGGATTAATCTCCTTAAATGATAAACTGGAAGTACACACACAGTACCTTCAGAACAATGAAACTCAGGATTTGAAAAACCAAATGCATCAAATGACTGTTGATCTAGAAAAACTAAAAAAATCAGAGTTATCTGATCTTTACCCTCCTGATGATCCACCGGATAAAGTAGATAAACAATCTACTCCTACACAGAAAGTAGATAACCAGTCTACTTCTACTCAAACCATATATAAGGTCAAACCCCTTTTTTATGGTAATGAAGATATTAAAGTACTTCATGAGTAACCCTCATCAAGTTACAATAAAGAGGAATATGACAACATCGTAGATTTTCTTAATTGTCTACGCGAACTGTACATTAATCCTCGACTATCTATTGATGAAAGCACACATATCATTAATCAGATACGAGAAACTTCTATATAAAATGAAGATCTCCTTACACACTTCGGATATAATTTCCACATCTCTGATCTCCTTCCTTCTAAACAATTCTTTTTGTTTATTAGAAAGTCCTTGACTGCTTGATTATCAGTACGAATAATAAAATCTTCTGGAGCAAGATAAATATGAAATCGTTTTATTGCCAATTTAATTGCCAGAAGTTCTTTTTCATAAATAATATAATTCTATTCGTTTGAAGCTTTTTTGGGAAAGGAGTTTTTCGGGCTTTTGCTTTAAATTGAATGACATTCATTGGAGCTTCCCCGTCCTATTCAGCAAAACATATTCACATCGCTGTCGAATTTCTAAATAAGGTCAAACCCCTTTTTTATGGTAATGAAGATTTTAAAGTACTTCATGAGCAACCCTCATCAAGTTACAATAAAGAGGAATATGACAACATCGTAGATTTTCTTAATTGTCTACGCAAACTGTACATTAATCCTCGACTATCTATTGATGAAAGCACACATATCATTAATCAGATACGAAAAACTTTTATACAAAATGAAGATCTCCTTACACACTTCGGATATAATTTCCATATCTCCGACAGTGATACTGAATCAGAAGAACAAATACATGTTTTCTCTAATCAATCTGATATAGAAGAATTTAACAATTCTGATGGCTCAGATTCTGTTGATGAAGAAATCCAAGCTGACCCACAGCCCGAAATATCTTCCTCTCATAGAAGAAAAAGAGTATCGGACACTGTTTTAGATGAATCATTTTACGGTGATTTTCCTACAACAAAAGAGATGCATCCGGCAGAAGAAACGAAAATTCCGTCCTCCAGTATACCTGCCAAATCGTCTAAAACTGCAGAAAAACAACCTGCTGCGTCTGCTACGTCTTATAATTATGATTATATGACCTTTCCCACCTTTACCAGAAAGGATGACCTCAATAAGTACCCCATTTCACAAAATGGTACTTATCTTGATCTTACTAATGTCCCCTACAAAGATCATCTCAAAGCTATAGATGAATAGGCACAATCCTTAGCCATCCTGGTAAACAACCAAAAAGCTACTTGGGGAAAAGATAGTTTTCTCTACTACATTCCAGCAACCCTGCAAGGAGATGCTCTCGAATGGCTTCGCCAGTGGGATCAGACAGCCCAAGGCAAGGAACAAAAAGGCTAACTCATTAACAATTTTCACGAGATACCGGATATTCTTCGTGGCTTTGTTAAAATCCTTAAAGAAGAACTCGTTGGACATACCGGCGAAGTACTTCTTTCCGACGATGCTAATTTCGCTCTTTCTAAAATCGAATTATGTGACATTTGCCGTTTTTCCGAATACGTCAAAATATTTAGTAAATATTTTCGACGTCTTCCTCCAAATGCTATGGAACATAGGTTACCCCAATTCTTTCATAAACTCCCAAGTCCCTGGGATGAGTAAGCCATCAAAGGCTACCCAGATTTTCTTATACGAATCAAACAAACCAATAACCTTGGTTTTCGTACCAATTTCATTTATCGTCTTATCAACGAGAAACCAAAGCCAAAAAACA